GTAGAAGTGCCACTACAGCTATGAGAGCAAGGAACCAGTGGACTGCTTTAGGTCATTCATGACATGAGGCTATCGATGGTCATGAAGCAATCACTTTTAGCCTTGGGTTTGGTGATGTCAGTATTCGACGTATGTTCTCGATGAGTTAGATCAGAAAGTTATTACAGCCTCAGTGGCATGGTAACTAGTGGAAACTAGTTCTAGAGAAGGATTTCGTTCAGAAGTCGTGTGAGGCGACTAAGTGGGAGTCCTTTGGCTCCGCAGTCGGTCCAGAACCCGGTATTTCAGATGACTGATGGATGAATTGAGACCAGGAAAGTCTTGATAGATTTTGGGAAAGTGGTCATGTTGCAGTTTAGTGTTTCAAGCAGTACGGTGTTCCAGGCAGTTCAGTGTTTCAGGCAGCTCAATGTTTCAGGAAATTCAGTGTTTCAGACAGTTTTGGGTCTCCAGCAGTAATGGTAATTAAGGATCTCATGTATGGCAAGCGTAACAGATTGCTGAGTAATGCTAAGTCATACCCCCCCTCGTGGGGTTCACCTATAAGGATTTAGTATGAGTGGTTTGTCAGGGATTCAGACTATCTCGAGACAACAAATTTCAGACGGAGTAGATGTGATCTTGTTACAAAGAATTCGCTCATCTGCAGATTTTAGGGCCTTGCGAAGGATGGTCATGGTAACCTTGGGGAAGACTAGGGTGTGCACAGGATTGTGGCCATGTTATTTGTGTGGTTTGGCGTGTAAGGAATAGTAAGAAAAAAAATTCGAGGACGAAATCCAATTTAAGTCGGGGAGATTTGTAACACTCTGTTAATTATATAAATAAATAGATGAAGTTGATGAATGGATAGTATCCCTAAAATTAAGAATTTTATAATAAGAGTGGTCTTGAGGAGTTAATTGTTACAATATTAGAAGTGGGGGGCTAAACGTGTAATTTTTGGATTGGTTCTGTAAATAATTATGAGGCTTAGGGACTAAATTGTAACATATAGAGTTGAAATGTAAAGATTTTAGATGGCATGGGTTAAAAAGGTAAAATATTGATCTAATTTAAATTAAACCGGAGCTGGAGGGACCGGAATTGTAATTATCCAAAAGATTTAAAGTGGTCGGGATATAACCTGCCACCCTCACCATGTCAAACCCTAAACCTAAAGGTTCCAGCCGCCATGAGTGAAGTAGCCGCCACCACCTTGTGACTCCCAAGCCGCCATCTCCCTCTCCTCGTTCTTTTCTAATCCGACCAGGTCACTATCCACTGCCGGCGACACCGTGAGTGACAAGGACCAAGCGAGACCGGACTTCGAGCCATACATGGCGAAGTGTAGGCTGCTAATGAACTGAATATCACCGGAGAAACGAACTGGGGAGGAGCCCCGACCGTTGAAGAACGAAGCCACCGCCCTTCATCATTTGTTAAGGCGTTAGTGCCACTCAGAGGCCGATAGCCGCCATTCCCGCTTACTACCTTGTCGAGATATTCCACTGATACATCCCCGATGCTGCTATTAACGTTGAGAACGGAAAGTTGGTAGCCGAGACTGACGGGAAAAGCCGTGAACGAGGAAGCGCCGGCCGTGAACGAATGGAAAATCCTTGGTGAGGCTAACCGTGAGCTATTTCCTCCAGACTTTTGTTCTTTTTGATTATACCAAGTCATCACCGGCGTTTGCTGTCGCCAATCCGCCACCTGCCCTCTACTGTAATCCTCCGCCATCACCAGCCACCGTGGAAGGTGGTTGTGTGCATGTATTACTATGTGTTTTAGGTGTGTGTGGTTGTATTTCTATTAGTTGTGCATGTTTGGGTGTTTTGGTTAGCCGGAGTTCATAGAAGAGCCGCCACCACCACTGTGAGATCATATCCCAAATCGTAGGATTCAGAGAGTACAGTGTCATCTTGGGTTATTCCAAGACTGAGGAGCAGCACGAGAAGCACCTGAGGGAGGTGCTAGAGACTTTGAGGAGGGAGAGACTTTTTGCAAGGTTCTCCAAATGAGAATTCTGGTTGTACGAGGTGCAATTTCGTGGGCACCTTGTCAATCAGAAGGGTATTCTAGTCGTTCCGGCGAAAATAGAGGCTGTGATGCAGTGGGAGATTCCGATGTCTCCAATTGAGATTCGGAGCTTCCTCGGTCTAACGGGTTATTACCGGAGTTTTATTCAGGTTCTTGGAAGTGGTGTGATCTTTTGGATTGGCTAGTATTGAAACACTAGCAATGGTAAGCGTGGTTTTCAGCAGAATGGGCATGGAATGATAAGAAGGATTGAGAATCCTTCCAGAATTGTGTGCTATAAGACGTTAGTTGAATCAAAGTTGGGGAGAATCATCCAATGATTCAGAAGTAGGATCAATTTTGAATCTGGGATAAGTTTCGCGTCCTTGTCAGGAAGGAAGACAACCCAAGCGACTTTATGGTTTGAGGATAATGTGAGATGGAAGTTCGGAAAAACTTGCCAATAAAGAGATTGCATTCTCGTAATGTTTTCCAGCACGCCTTAAGGAATCAGGTTAGGGATTCCAGTCAGGACATGAGTTCAGTTGAGTACGAGTCAAGAGCATGTCGATCCAGTATGGTGAGTGTTGTAAGTCTGCGGGTGTAGCCGTAGCATTCACTAGCAGCAAAATTGTGTTAGACTGTTGTAAGTCTGCGGGTGTAGCTGTAGCATTCACTAGCAGCCATACATTGTTAGAGTGTTGTAAGTCTGCGGGTGTAGCTGTAGCATTCACTAGCAGTCAGATAGTGATAGAGTATTGTAAGTCTGCGGGTGTAACTGTAGCATTCACTAGCAGCCAGATAGTGTTAGAGTGTTGTAAGTCTGCGGGTGTAGCCGTAGCATACACTAGCAGCCAGATAGTGATAGAGTGTTGTAAGTCTGGGGGTGTAGCCATAGCATTCTCTAGGATGGTAGATAGCGTGAATGTGTTGTTAGGACGCTAAAGGAACAATAGTACCCACCAGTTTGGGTGTAGCAGTGAGGATATGGAAATCCACGGATTGGATTTTGGAATTACCCAGACGGATTAGACGCGGTTAATCCAGTGATAAGACGGTAGAAGTGCCACTACAGCTATGAGAGCAAGGAACCAGTGGACTGCTTTAGGTCATTCATGACATGAGGCTATCGATGGTCATGAAGCAATCACTTTTAGCCTTGGGTTTGGTGATGTCAGTATTCGACGTATGTTCTCGATCAGTTAGATCAGAAAGTTATTACAGCCTCAGTGGCATGGTAACTAGTGGAAACTAGTTCTAGAGAAGGATTTCGTTCAGAAGTCGTGTGAGGCGACTAAGTGTGACTCCTTTGGGGGTGTAGCCATAGCATTCTCTAGGATGGTAGATAGCGTGAATGTGTTGTTAGGACGGTAAAGGAACAATAGTACCCACCAGTTCGGGTGTAGCAGTGAGGATATGGAAATCCACGGATTGGATTTTGGAATTACCCAGACGGATTAGACGCGGTTAATCTAGTGATAAGACGGTAGAAGTGCCACTACAGCTATGAGAGCAAGGAACCAGTGGACTGCTTTAGGTCATTCATGACATGAGGCTATCGATGGTCATGAAGCAATCACTTTTTGCCTTGGGTTTGGTGATGTCAGTATTCGACGTATGTTCTCGATCAGTTAGATCAGAAAGTTATTACAGCCTCAGTGGCATGGTAACTAGTGGAAACTAGTTCTAGAGAAGGATTTCGTTTAGAAGTCGTGTGAGGCGACTAAGTGTGACTCCTTTGGCTCCGCAGTCGGTCCGGAACCCGGTATTTCAGATGACTGACGGATAAATTGAGACCGGGAAAGTCTCGATAGATTTTAGGAAAGTGGTCATGTAGCAGTTTAGTGTTTCAAGCAGTTCGGTGTTCCAGGCAGTTCAGTGTATCAGGCAGCTCAGTGTTTCAGGCAGCTCAGTGTTTCAGGAAGTTCAGTGTTTCAGATAGTTTTGGGTCTCCAACAGTAATGGTAATTAAAGATCTCATGTATGGAAAGCATAACAGATTGCTGAGTAATGCTAAGTCACACCCCCCCTTGCGGGGTTCACCTATAAGGATTTAGTATGAGTGGTCTGTCAGGGATTCAGACTATCTCGAGACAACAGATTTCAGACGGAGTAGATGTGATCTTGTTACAAAGAATTCGCTCATCTGCAGAATTTAGGGCCTTGCGAAGGATGGTCATGGTTACCCTGGGGAAGACTAGGGTGTGCACAGGATTGTGGCCATGTTATTTGAGTGGTTTGGCGTGTAAGGAATGGTAAGAAAAAATTTCGAGGACGAAATCCAATTTAAGTCGGGGAGAGTTGTAACACTCTGTTAATTATATAAATAAGTAGATGAAGTTGATGAATGGATAGTATCCCTAAAATTAATAATTTTATAATAAGAGTGGTCTTGAGGAGTTAATTGTTACAATATTAGAAGTGGGGGGCTAAACGTGTAAGTTTTGGATTGGTTCTGTAAAAATAATTATGAGGCTTAGGGAGTAAATTGTAACATATAGAGTTGAAATGTAAAGATTTTAGATGGCATGGGTTAAAAAGGTAAAATATTGATCTAATTTAAATTAAACCGGAGCTGGAGGGACCGGAATTGTAATTATGCGAAAGATTTAAAGTGGTCGGGATATAACTTGCCACCCTCACCATGCCAAACCCTAAACCTAAAGGTCCCAGCCGCCATGAGTGAAGTAGCCGCCACCACCTTGTGACTCCCTAGCCGCCATCTCCCTCTCCTCGTTCTTTTCCGATCCGACCAGGTCACTATCTATTGTCGGCGACACCGTGAGCGACAAGGACCAAGCGAGACCGGACTTCGAGTCGTACATGGCGATGTGTAGGTTGCTAATGAACGGAATATCGCCGGTGAAACGAACTGGGGAGGAGCCCCGACCGTTGGAGAACGAAGCCACCGCCCTTCATCATTTGTTAAGGCGTTAGTGCCACTCAGAGTCCGATAGCCACCATTCCCGCTTACTACCTTGTCGAGATATGCCACTGTTACATCCCCGATGCTGCTATTAACGTTGAGAACGGAAAGTTGGTAGCCGAGACTGACGGGAAAAGCCGTGAACGAGGAAGCACCGGCCGTGAACGAATGGAAGATCCTCGGTGAGGCTAACCGTGAGCTATTTCCTCCAGAATTTTGTTCTTTTTGATTATACCAAGTCATCACCGCCGTTTGCTGTCGCCAATCCGCCACCTACCCTCTACTGTAATCCTCCACCACCACCAGCCACCGTGGAAGGTGGTTGTGTGCATGTATTACTATGTGTTTTAGGTGTGTGTGGTTGTATTTCTATTAGTTATGCATGTTTGGGTGTTTTGGTGAGCCGGAGTTCATAGAAGATCCGCCACCACCACTGTGAGATCATATCCCAAATCGTAGGATTGAGAGAGTACAGTGTCATCTTAGGTTATTCCAAGACTGAGGAGCAGCACGAGAAGCACCTGAGGGAGGTGCTAGAGACTTTGAGGAGGGAGAGACTTTTTGCAAGGTACTCTAAATGAGAGTTCTGGTTGTGCGAGGTGCAATTTCATGGGCACCTTGTCAATCAGAAGGGTATTCTAGTCGTTCCGGCGAAGATAGAGGTCGTGATGTAGTGGGAGATTTCGAGGTCTCCAATTGAGATTCGAAGCTTCCTCGGTCTAACGGGTTATTACCGGAGTTTTATTCGGGTTCTTGGAAGTGGTGTGATCTTTTAGACTGGCTAGTATTGAAACACTAGCAATGTTAAGCGTGGTTTTCCGCAGAATGGGCATGGAATGATAAGAAGGATTAAGAAACCTTCCATAATTGTGTGCTATAAGACGTTAGTTGAATCAAACTGGGGGAGAATCATCGAAGGATTCAGAAGTAGGATCAGTTTTGAATCTGGGATAAGTTTCACATCCTTGTCAGGAAGGAAGACAGCCCTAGCGGCTTTATGGTTTGAGGATAATGTGAGATGGAAGTTCGGAAAAACTTGCCAATAAGCAGATTGCATTCTCGTAATGTTTTCCAGCAAGCCTTAAGGAATCAGGTTAGGGATTCCAGTCAGGACATGAGTTCAGTTGAGTGCGGGTCAAGCGAATGTCGATCTAGTATGGAGAGTGTTGTAAGTCTGCGGGTGTAGCCGTAGCATTCACTAGCAGCCAAATAGTGTTATACTGTTACAAGTCTGCGGGTGTAGCCGTAGTAGTCACTAGCATCCAGACATTGTTAGAGTGTTGTAAGTCTGAGGGTGTAGCCGTAGCATTCACTAGCAGTCAGATAGTGATAGAGTGTTGTAAGTCTACGGGTGTAACCGTAGCATTGACTAGCAGCCAGTTAGTGTTAGAGTGTTGTATGTTTACAGGTGTAGCCGTAGCATACACTAGTAGCCAGATAGTGATAGAGTGTTGTATGTTTGCGGGTGTAGCCGTAGCATTCTCTAGGTTGGTAGATAGCGTGAATGTGTTGTTAGCATGCTAAAGGAACAATAGTACCCACCTGTTCGGGTGTAGCAGTGAGGATATGGAAATCCACGGATTGGATTTTGGAATTACCCAGACGGATTAGATGTGGTTAATCCAGTGATAAGATGGTAGAAGCGCCACTACAGCTATGAGAGCAAGGAAGCAGTGGACTGCTTAAGGTCATTCATGACATGAGGCTACCGATGGTCATGAAGCAATCACTTTTAGCCTTGGTTTTGGTGACGTCACTATTCGATGTATGTTCTCTATCAGTTAGATCAGGAAGTTATTACAGACTTAGTGGCATGGTAACTAGTGGAAACTAGTTCTAGAGAAGGATTTCGTTCAGAAGTCGTGTGAGGCGACTAAGTGGGAGTCCTTTGGCTCCACAGTCGGTCCGGAACCCGGTATTTCAGATGACTGATGGATGAACTGGGACCGGGAAAGTCTCGATAGATTTTGGGAAAGTGGTCATGTAGCAGTTTAGTGTTTCAAGCAGTTCGGTGTTCCAGGCAGTTCAGTGTTTCAGGCAGCTCAGTGTTTCAGGAAGTTTAGTGTTTCAGATAGTTTTGGGTCTCCAGCAGTAATGGTAATTAAGGATCTCATTTATGGCAAGCGTAACAGATTATTGAGTAATGCTAAGTCACCCCCCCCCTGCGGGGCTCACCTATAAGGATTTAGTATGAGTGGTCTGTCAGGGATTCAGACTATCTCGAGACAACAAATTTCAGACGGAGTAGATGTGATCTTGTTACAAAGAATTCGCTTATCTGCAGAATTTAGGGCCTTGTGAAGGATGGTCATGGTTACCCTGGGGAAGACTAGGGTGTGCACAGGATTGTGGCCATGTTATTTGAGTGGTTTGGCGTGTAAGGAATGGTAAGAAAAAATTTTGAGGACGAAATCCAATTTAAGTCGGGGAGAGTTGTAACACTCTGTTAATTATATAAATAAATAGATGAAGTTGATGAATGGATAGTATCCCTAAAATTAATAATTTTATAATAAGAGTGGTCTTGAGGAGTTCATTGTTACAATATTAGAAGTGGGGGGCTAAACGTGTAAGTTTTGGATTGGTTCTGTAAATAATTATGAGGCTTAGGGACTAAATTGTAACATATAGAGTTGAATTGTAAAGATTTTAGATGGCATGGGTTAAAAATGTAAAATATTGATCTAATTTAAATTAAACCAGAGCTGCAGGGATCGGAATTGTAATTATGCGAAAGATTTAAAGTGGTCGGGATATAACCTGCCACTCTCACCATGTCAAACCCAAAACCTAAAGGTTCCAGCTGCCACGAGTGAAGTAGCCGCCACCACCTTGTGACTCCCTAGCCGCCATCTCCCTCTCCTCGTTCTTTTCCGATCCGACCAAGTGACTATCCACTGCCGGCGACACTGTGAGCGACAAGGACCAAGCGAGACTGGACTTCGAGCCGTACATGGCGAAGTGTAGGCTGCTAATGAACGGAATATCACTGGAGAAACGAACTGGGGAGGAGCCCCGACCGTTGAAGAAACGAAGCCACCGCCCTTCATCATCTGTTAAGGCGTTAGTGCCACTTAGATTCCGATAGCCGCTATTCCCGCTTACTACCTTGGCGATTTATGCCACAGTTACATCCCCCGATACTGCTATTAACGTTGAGAATGGACAGTTGGTTGCCAAGACTGACGGGAAAAGCCGTGAACGAGGAAGCGTCGGCCGTAAACGAATGGAAGATCCTCGGTGAGTTTAACCGTGTGCTATTTCCTCTGATTATACCAAGTTATCACCGCCGTTTGCTATCGCTAATCCGCCACCTGCCCTCTACTACCATCCTCCGCCGCCATCATCCACCATGGAAGGTAGTTGTGTGCATGTATTACTATGTTTTTTAGGTGTGTGTGGTTGTATTTCTATTAATTATGCATGTTTGGGTGTTTTGGTCAGTCGGAGTTCATAGAAGAGTCGCCACCACCACTGTGAGATCATATCCCAAGTTGTGGGATTGAGAGAGTACAGTGTCGTCTTGGGTTATTCCAAGACTGAGAAGCAGCACGAGAAGCACCTGAGGGAGGTGCTAGAGACTTTGCTGAGGAAGAGACTTTTTGCAAGGTACTCCAAATGAGAGTTCTGGTTGTGCGAGGTGCAATTTTGTGGGCACCTTGTCAATTAGAAGGGTTTTCTAGTCATTCTGGCGAAGATAGAGGCCGTGATGCAGTGGAAGATTCCGAGGTCTACAATTGAGATTCGGAGCTTTCTCGGTCTAACGGGTTATTACCGGAGTTTTATTCGGGTTCTTGGAAGTGGTGTGATCTTTTGGACTGGCTAGTATTGAAACACTAGCAATGGTAAGTGTGGTTTTCAGCAGAATGGGCATGGAATGATAGGAAGGATTGAGAATCCTTCCAGAATTGTGTGCTATAAGATGTTAGTTGAATCAAAGTGGGGGAGAATCATCCAAGGATTCAGAAGTAGGATCAATTTTGAATCTGGGATAAGTTTCGCATCCTTGTCAGGAAGGAAGATAGCCCAAGCGGCTTTATGGTTTGAGGATAATGTGAGATGGAAGTTCGGAAAAACTTTCCAATAAGGAGATCGCATTCTCGTAATGTTTTCCAGGAAGCCTTAAGGAATCAGGTTAGGGATTCCAGTCAGGACATAAGTTCAGTTGAGTGTGGGTCAAGCGAATGTCGATCCAGTATGGAGAGTGTTTGTAAGTCTGCGGGTGTAGCCGTAGCATTCACTAGCAGCCAGATAGTGTTAGACTGTTGTAAGTCTGCGGGTGTAGCCGTAGCATTCACTAGCAGCCAGACATTGTTAGAGTGTTGTAAGTCTGCGGGTGTAGCCGTAGCATTCACTAGCAGTCAGATAGTGATAGAGTGTTGTAAGTCTGCGGGTGTAACCGTAGCATTGTCTAGTAGTCACTTAGTGTTAGAGTGTTGTAAGTATGCGGGTGTAGCCATAGCATACACTAGCAGCCAGATAGTGATAGAGTGTTGTAAGTCTGCGGGTGTAGCCGTAGCATTCGCTAGGTTGGTAGATAACGTGAATGTGTTGTTAGGACGCGGAAGGAACAGTAGTACCCACCAGTTTGGGTGTAACACTGAGGATACGGAAATCCATGGATTGGATTTTGGAATTACCCAGACGGATTAGACGTGGTTAATCCAGTGATAAGATGGTAGAAGTGCCACTACAACTATGAGAGCAAGGAAGCAGTGGACTGCTTAAGGTCATTCATGATATGAGGCTACCAATGGTCTTGTAGCAATCACTTTTAGCCTTGGGTTTGGTGACGTCAGGATTCGACATATGGACTCGATCAGTTAGACCAGGAAGTTATTACAGCCTCAGTGGCATGGTAACTAGTGGAAACTAGTTCTAGAGAAGAATTTCGTTCAGAAGTCGTGTCAGGCAACTAAGTGGGAGTCCTTTGGCTCCGCAGTCGGTCAGGAACTCGGTATTTCAGATGAATGACGGATGAATTGAGACCGGGAAAGTCTCGATAGATTTTGGGAAAGCAATCATGTAGCAGTTTAGTGTTTCAGGCAGTTCGGTGTTCCAGGCAGTTTAGTGTTTTAGGCAGCTCGGTGTTTCAGGAAGTTTAGTGTTTCAGACAGTTTTGGGTCTCCAGGAGTATTGGTAATTAAGGATCTCATGTATGGGAAGCGTAACAGATTGTTGATTAATACTAAGTCACCCCCTTGCGGGGCTCACCTATAAGGATTTAGTATGAGTGGTCTGTCAGGGATTCAGACCATCTCGAGACAACAAATTACAGACAAAGTAGATGTGATCCTATTTTGAGGAATTCATTCATATGATGGTATTAGGGCTTTGCAAAGATTAGTCATAGCTACCCTGGGAAGGCTAGGGTGTGCCCAGGATGGTGATCATGTTACTAGAAGTGGTTTGGCATATACGAAATAGTAAGGAGTGATTTCGAGGATGAAATCTAATTTAAGTGGGGGAGAGTTGTAACACCCGTTTATTTATTAGTTAAATAAATAAATTAGTGAACGAATGGTAGCCTAAAATAAATAAATAAATGTATAGAAGCCCTAAAATCAAGAATAAATGAGCAAGGTGTTAGTTCGAGGAGTTAAAAGTTATAATTATAGAAGTTGGGGGATGAATTGCAATTCACGGGTTAGTTTGTAAAGAATGTTGGAAGTTGAGAGTGATCTGATAATTTTGGGTTTAATTTGAAATAAAATCATGAAGGAAGGGGTTAAAGTGTAAGTATTGGATTCAATTTAAGAATAAATTATGGAGGAGGGGCTGTTTAGTAATTTTGGGGTTTATTATGAAAGGAATTTTAGAAGTCGGGGTCTAAAGGGTAATTATTGGATCAGACTTGAAATGATCCCAAGGGGAGGGACCAGAATTGTAAGTATGGGAAAGATGTATATGGATCGGGTATATAACTCCTTTAGTCATCATCCCTAACCCTAATATGAGAGGCAGCCGTCACCCACCCTTATGCCATCTCCAGCCGCCATTCACCTCCTTCTTCATCTCCGACCCAACGTTGCCATCTCCCCTCCACTGTCAACGATCAGTGTACCGACGAAGAGAAGATCCATGCATAAAGATCATCTTAATCGGGAGGAGCGGGAAAGTGTAGATCGTGGAGGCCATGATTGCTGCCGGTGTTGCGTCATTTGGTGATGGAGAAGCGGTTCATCTCTGTCGCACCTGCTTCACTCCACTCTTTCTTCTCCCTCAGCTCATTGAGGTTCCATAGTCCTTCCATGCCTCTTTCTTTTTACTTTGCCAGCTGTCGCTGCTTTATCTCGTCACCACCAGCTGCCATGGGTGGTGGATGCGATTTTGGGTGGATGTGTTATGTTGCTTCGAGATTCATGTGACTATTGGCTTGCTGTCACTGGGAGCGAGCTCCTGAAGACCACCCTTCATGTGTGCTGCTGCCTAACACCGTCAAGACCGCCGCTGCCAACTCTTTATGGTGTTGTCGTCGCCAATCGCCAACAGGAGGGTGGCTCGACCTATTTGCAAGCAAGAAAAGAGTGTGGGTGTTTGTTCTTTCTATAGCATGTGTTGTGTGTAGCTTGTTGGCCGGAAAAGCCGCTACCACCACCGTGAGGTGGTGGCTGCCACCATAAGCTGCCATGGGTGCGTGTTGATTTAGTTAGTGTGTGTGTTTATTCTTGGTTAAGGCATTGTAAACTGTAATTAGCTAAAGTATAATGGAAGAAATTGAAAACGACCACCTTAGGGTGGTGGCTGCCGCCTCCTGCCACCGTTTCGGGTGGCGGTGTGCTTTGCCTCGTGGTGTTGATTCGTTTGGGGTGCTTAAAACCCTAATAGGCCCAAAGAAGATCAAATGGGCCAAATGAAGCTTAATGGACCCAATAAAAGCTTAATGGGCTTAATAATATTTTAGTGGGCTTAATAGGCCCAATAAAGCCCTAATTGATCTAAAAGCCCAACAAATTAATAAATGGCTAGTACTTGGGTTGGAAACCCTAATTACAGTTTGGAAAACCCTAATGCCATCAAAACCCTAATTTTTGGGGAATTAATCGAGACACACGAGAATTATTAATAACTTGGAATATTAAATAATAATCATTGGCGGGAATTAATCTAAGCAATATTGGACTTAATGGATTAAGTCCTTAATGGGTTAAGCAGGAAACTTAACCCTAATCATCATTTTATGTGAAACCCTAATTTCACTTGGGTTTATTATTAGGCCATCTAGGAATAATCATATGGATTATAATATGTTGTGGGGCTTTAGGGTAAGGCCCATATGAGAGTTGGGCCCAATTTGGAAAATTGGGCCATAGATGGGCCACAATTTGGGCCTTAATAATTACATGATGTTGGGCCTCAGAATATGACCATGTATAGGTGTAGGCACAATTTCGAAAATTGTGCCATGTGTTGGGCTTTGATTCCTAATTGACTTTGGGCCTACGGATTGGGCCATAGGCTTGAATAAGCCAAGCTTAGGGTAATGTAGTAATTATCCAAAGTAAGTGTTTATGGTTATGTAGTGGGACCCAATTATTTATTGGGTGATGTTTTGATATTGGCAGATCGGGAATCTGTCATCCAGCAGCTGGGGTTGAGTCTACGGGGCCTCAACTGTGTGGAATTGTGTCTACAGGACTTCAGCAGTGTGAGGTGAGTTACCTTCCAGTAGTGGTGGGTCTATAGCCACAATGCCGGCCCACCAGTAGGAGTTGTTGTTAGATGATTGTCTTCGTGATAATTGTCTATGTTTGCTACTACATGTTATGTTTATGTGCTAGATAGATTATGATATATGTGATATGATATTATGTGGTAGTAGTAGGGGTGAAATAGTCCCCAGTTACCGGTCGACCGGACCGAAGGGGTAGGCCAGCACCCAGATATGCTAGGCAGTATGTGATTTATGTGTTTATGCTATGCTTTTATGTGGTAGTGGTAGGGGTGAAATAGTCCTCGGTTACTGGTTGAAAGATACCGAAGGGGAGGCCAGCACCTAGATATGCTAGGCAGTTATCCGGTTGAAAGAGACCGAACAGGAGGCTAGCACCCA